ATGGGGAAGGACACGTGGGAAAAGCACCCCGATTCTCCTTCCAGCTTTGACAATTGCCTCCTCAGGTTCATGGAAATATCCAAGCACTGTCACCTGACTACAGCCGCCCAGCCTGGGGCATGAGGAGGTTCCTGAAAGGTCCGTATGAACTATTTCATCGCACGGACAAGCCACGTCTGTCTCTTCCACTGAAGCACAGGACGCGTCTTACAAGACTTGACGTGAGCATCCAGCAGGATGCAGTAGGGAAAGCCCCCAGCATAGGGCCTGCTGTATAAAATACTATATTCCAATAGCCATAATAATGAAAAGGTGCTCTCCCAAGGTTGGATTTCTGCATTTTGAGATGCAAGGCCAGGTGAACGTCCGTCCCACGTTTAGGTCACCATCAGAGCACGGTACAAAAGAACCTGTCTAGGAAAAGCATTTAACCCTAGCCGCAGGGGGCATTTGAGTCAGAGCCCCCCAGAGCTGACCTGGCCCCCATTGGGCATTATTTTAAGCCAGGGAGCCGTCATCTGCTCCGTCTTTTAAAACTCTGGCCGGTGATGGGGGAAAGGAAACTGGCCACCCTTGTTCCTTTCCAACATCTCAGATGCTCAGAAATTGAGGGGCTCAATTTCTGGTTTCCACCCAGTCTCGCCCACTCACCGAGCTACAGGAAGGTGTGAGCTAGCACTGACCCCGCCCCTCCATCGAGGACCCGCCCACAAGTCTAGGCCCCGCCCCCGAGCTTCCTCCCTCACCCATTGGATAGCCGGCAGGAGGCGCCAGCGCACAGCCTATCTTCGCTTGCTGGCTAGCCTCGCCCCTCTTCGCGAGGCTCCGCCCCCTGGGGGGGCGTGTTTCCTGTCTGTCTATTGGATGCCGAGATGCTGCTCGCAGCCCACTTCTTCTCGCCCAGCGCCTTCCTAAGTCCCCCACCGTATGCCCCGCCCATTTACGCCACGCCCTCTCATAGGCCCCTCCCCACCCGAGGCCCCGCCCCCGTCCGTTGCGCGGCCGGCAGGAGGCGCCGCGGCACGAGCGGGTAGCGGGCGCCGGCTCCCGCTAACGGCGGGCGTGGGAGCCGCGCGGGGACGCGGTGGCGGCGGGCCGTGCTGAAGGTGAGTGCGGGGCGCGTGAGAGAAGGAGGTCAGCGAAGGCGAGGGTCTGGTCCGGGCGGTGCTACTCCGAGGCTGTGTGGACCCCGGGGTGTGGAGCCCGAGGAGTGGGGGGGGGGGTCGCGCGCTCCGGGCCGCACGGGGCACGGGAGTGCGGGTATGCCGGGGGCGGGGAGGGGAGGCTTGTTCGGTTGCCATGGAAACCGGCGGCGGCGGGCGGGGGGGGGGGCAGCTGGCTCATGTGTCCTGGTTCGCGGGCTTCCAAGGGATGATCCCAGTGCTGGGGATCCCCTACCTGCCTTCGCACCCCCCACCCACCCCAGCCCTCAGTTTCCCTGGATGGTGGTGCATGGTGTGGGGCACCACAGTCTCCCGCCGGGATCCCGCGTGACACTCCCCCCACGCCCACCCCGCAGCGCGCGCCCCCCCCCCCCGTGTGCCCGCGACAAGGCATTGTTCCCCAGCTATTTCTGTACCACTTCTGTAAGGAGACAGATGCTAAGCTGGAGCTCCCAGGCTGAGAGGGACCTGGCTTAGGTCCCCTGGGGACGGGGGCGGTGGGACCTGGCTGGCTGCAGACCTGCCTGGCCAGCCTCTGTCGCCTGTCAAGTGTTTGGTTAATCTGAATTGCCAAAAAGAATTTGATTACTGGGGTGTCTCTGTTAGCCCCAGCCACCTCTTGTGCATTCCAGAGAGGAGCCAGTCTTTCATCCCGCTGGGACAAGTCTGTCCCTTCTCAAGAGACTAGCCATGGAAAATGAGACCTGATGAAATTATGTGCATATTTAAAGATAGGATTTGTGGGGAGGGGGACAAGGTGCAGCGTGCAGAGTTTACTGTTCGCTTTTCCTCCTGGTGGAATGATAATGGATTCCAGATTGTCCAGTTGGAACAGCGAGATGTCCCTCCACCCGTGTCAGCCAGTGCTGACCTCGCTGACAAGCGACTTGGCTTGTTTTCCATCAGAAACGGGACTCTTCCTGGAGAACAGGAGACAAATGTTTGCAGAGAACAGCTCCAGTCAGTGCACCCTGCATACACCCTGGGCTGTCTGGTCCCTGAGCTGTCCCCAAGTGTTTGTGTGACAGAGGTGAAAATTGAGTAGAAAAGGAAAAGGCAGGTCACACTTCCAGAAAAACAGATCTGGTTACCCAGGGCCTGCTGTGCTCTGTAGGATTTCCCTGCACTCCTGTTGGCTTGTAAGAAACAAATCTGTCCTATTTGGACAAACAGACTGTACTCTGAATTCTGTGATTAGGAGAGGAGGTGGCACTTAGGCAAATGGCCACTGTCAGTGGCACCCTTGGCAGTCACCACCGAGGGAAAATGACCATAGTGAGAGGAAAGCCTTCTGAAAACCCCAAAATAGATAAGACTTGGGTTAACAGGGACTTAGAGTCAGGATTTGTTGGAAAAGAATGAGTCACATTCTCCCTGCTTATGTCGTCTCCCTTCTTTTTATGATTTTCCTAACTCTGCCGTAGAATCTGGCACAGGAGGCTGCTGGAGAAGAGGGAGGGGCGCCCCTGAGGTTCAAGCAGCAGGCCCCTTGCTTGAGAGGCCCTGGGAGGGGACCGTGCCATTGTGTGTTTAATTCTTTGTTTCTTTTTCATTAACGCAGAATTGTAGAAGTGTCTGAACCACAAGTGCAGTCACTGTAGGTGCAAGATACTGGTTCATTTCTCCCGTGTTTGGGCCTTTTAAACCCTCGTGCCTCTACTGTGACTTTTCTCCTGCCTAGGGACAGCCTCCGCTGCCTTTGGCATTGTGTTTAAATTTACATTTGGATACTGTCACCAGAGGCCAAGGCTGCTGGTGACCGAGACTGTGTTGTTTGCCATCCACTTTGTGCCATGAGAACAAGTGCTGGCCTTGAGACTTCTGAGCAGGGGGTGTCTTGAGAGCCACCTGTGGGAAGTTTCTAGGGCAGAATTGTGGCACCTCGGACAGTCACTAAGGACTGATTTGAGAAGGCCATTTGCAAGGGGTTCACTCTCTGATTCAAGCTTTCTTTTCCAACTCAATGCCTCACACTTGCTAGGCAAGCGTGCTACCACCTGAACCCTTTTGTCGTATTTTGTTTTTGAGATAGGGTCTCACTAACTGCCCTGACTGGCCTTGAACTCACGATCCTCCTGTCTCTGCCTCCTGAGCAGCTGGCATTACAGGTGTGCACTACCACACCCAGCTCCAAGCACTCTTTCATGATTTGAAACTGCTGACACGGATGCAAATGCAAAGGCACGTGTTGGTGACAAGTATTTTCTGCAAATGATTTGTAAATTATGTGACAGACGCAGAGACTTGCGGCATGTTCCTTAGGGGAGGAGAAACCAAGCCTTTGCTTAGGACCCCTCCTTGGCTTGACTTTTTGAGGCCCAGAGAACCTCGTGGGCTTCTGAGCAGTGTTGGAGTCTCTGAGACACCCGGCTCCAAACACAAAGTCAAGTATTCAGAAAGCCGGTCCCTTGTGGAAGCTTTGCTGTAGTAGGAACAGGTGACGTGTCACCCACCCCTTGGGGCCGGTGCCCAGGCTTCCAGGCTTCCCTGTGCAGGTATCAGAAGAGTTTGAAGGGCTCACGTTCCTCCCAGAATGCCTAGTGGCCGGTAGGCACCTGACTGTGAACAAATGCCATGGTGGCCTGGTTCTTGGCTTCATTCACAGCAGCCCTGATGGCAATGCAGGACTTCAGGGGACAGGACTGCATGTTAGGGTAGCTGGAAGGACACTGATTTGCTCAGGGGTGCAGAAAGTCACATTCTGCTTTTAGCAGCCACTTTCCCTTCCAGAAGCCTCTTGTAGCCTGCCGAGGCTGGGGACTTCAGCAGCCCTCTGACCGCCAGAGCTCAGTGGCAGGTGCCTGTGCTGCTTTTATTGGGTCCTGGGCCACTCTTCCTGGATGGAGCCTTCTAGAAAATGCTCCTCTCTGACTGTCTTGTCTGTGGTGAGAACATGAGCACAGAGGTGGGGTGTGGTCACCAGATGTAAGGACTGCTTTTCAGAGTTCCTGTATCTTGAGGAGAAGCGTGGTCCTTTCTCGCTGCTCTGCTGTCCTGCTGGGATTGTGATGGAGACCGATAATGCCGCCTCTAAGCCCGGTGGGGCACCAAGGCATTAGGATTAAGGCTTCCCAGGGTCATTTCCTGCCGTCCCAGGGGACTGCAGCTCTCCAGCCTGGGAGGGCCATGCGGGCTGGACGGTGGGCGGAGTGCATGCATTCCTAGCGTGCTTTGCAGGCTCTGGGGGAGCCCTTTGTGTCCTGCGTGGCCGTGTGGACACTCTAAGCTGCGTGCCAGGGAAGCAGCTCCTTCCCATGGGGACCTGTCTTCAGCCTGGCTGTGGGGAGCAGTTTCCTTGGGCTCATGCTTCTGATGTCTGCTTGCTGGTTATCCTGTCACCGTGGCTGCAGGCTCCCCTTGTGTCTGTGACAAGTTCCCATGCCATGACCATGGCATAGGAGAAATCGAGTCTAGAGAGGCGGGGCCTTGCCCCCGAGTTGTTAATCGCTGTTATCTGCTGTGATGTGGCTAGACGGTGGCCTTGGCCGAGGACAGGGAGCCACCCTTGCTGAGGTGCACTGAGAGGCTGGCAGTTGCCGTGCCTTCTGCCCTGCGTCCAGTACTTCCCAGAAATCGGAGTGTCTTAACCTTCAGTGACCTCATCCTGCTTCCTGGGACTGGCTTTCCCCGAAGGGCACTTGTGTCCATCAGACCTGTTTGTCCCTTGGGGCCCTGTAGACTGAGGCTCTCTGCGGGGTCTGGCCCGGTGGCGGAGACACCAGTGGCTGTTTCAGCACCTCAGTGCACTGGTGTGTCGCTTGCTTTTGATGCTTGTGACACTCGTGCTAACCTGTCCTTTGTCCTCCCAGGCCACGGTCTTTCTGAAGCCTTTGGCTGAAGCCTGTGGTCCTCATCCATGAAGACTCACCCACCATGTTTTATGGGACTCACTTCATCATGTCGCCTCCCACCAAGAGCAGGTTGAAGCGCCAGAGCCAGCTGCTGTCCAGCATGCTATCCAGGACACTGAGCTACAAGTACCGGGACCTGGATGCCACCTTCTGCAGCCTGGGCACCAGTGATGACCCTGCAGAGCTGTCCACCCAACTCTCGGCCCCCGGGGTCCTGAAGGTGTTTGGGGACAGTGTCTGCACAGGCACCCACTACAAGAGTGTGCTGGCCACCGGCACCTCCAGCGCCCGCGAGCTGGTGAAGGAGGCCCTAGAGCGCTATGCGCTGGACCCCAAGTGTGCCGGCCAGTACGTGCTGTGCGACGTGGTTGGCCAGGCCGGTGACTCTGGGCAGAGGTGGCAGGCCCAGTGCTTCCGGGTATTTGGGGACAATGAGAAGCCCCTCCTGATCCAGGAGTTATGGAAACCCCGAGAAGGCTTGTCCCGGAGATTCGAGCTGAGGAAGAGGTCAGACGTGGAGGAGCTGGCAGCTAAGGACATGGACACCACCACGGCAGGTGAGGGGCAGACGGGGTGACAGAGGACATGTGAGGCGGTGTGTTCTGGAGGAGGCCAGCGGAGCTGCCGTGGCCCTTTCAGTCTTCCTTTGAAAGCCCAGGTCTTCCCCTTACCATCAGGCCAGGTGTTGTGTCTGACATCTGGGTGGCTCCTGATGTTCTCTTGTAATATTTTAGGTCAAATCATCCTTCTGTCCAATCAGGTCATTGCCCAGCCTTTTAGACCCAGGGAACTGTGGGTTCAAGATCATAGCTGTGTCACAGAGTCCTGTGACACATCTCACAGATGTGGTGTGAAATGACAATGAAGGAAGCCTTCCCAAACCCATGTGGCTGCACGTTGCGAACGGTGGGAGTTCGGTGTGGGGCGGCTGGTTAGCTTCCTGTCTGTAGAGTGCCAGGAGCGGTGGCTTTGCTCACCCTCGGCCTCGGGCCCACTGTGTTGTGTCTGTTGATGGTCATCTGGTGGAAAGTTGGCTCTTAGCCAGGCATGGTCCTGCATGCCTGTAATAACCGCCATGGGGAGGCAGAGACGGGATGACTGCAACAAGGAGGTCAGCCCCAGCAAAGGAGTGAGACCCTGTCTCACAAACACAATTTAAAAAGCGGGGAGGGGCTGGTGGTATAGCTCAAGTGGTAGAGAGCTTGCTTGGCATGTGTGAGGCCGTGGGTTTAAACCCTGTACTGAAAAATAAAGGTGGTTTTAGTAAGCACGTGCCATAAAAATTAGTTTTTAAGTACAAAAAGATTCTTAAATACATTTCAGACCCTATGACTTTTTCTTACTTTCCTGTTAAAAACAGTTGTTTTGCATGAGACCGTGGATGTAGCTTCCATTGCAGAGTGCTCGTGGCTTACCAAGACCTGGCACTGAACCTTGTGCTACTTCAGGTGGGAGGGGGCCACCGCACATCACCGCATCTTGTGTGTGTCCTCCGAGGTGTGGTGACCACTCAGCTCCTCCCCGCTTGCTGTTGGATGTCAGTGTGTGCGACAGGGGTCATGGTGAAGGTGGCTAGCTTCATGGGCCGCATCCCTTGGACCTGACCAGGACCCTGTGTGGCATGGCTCCAAGGTGCTGCAGCACTGTGAAGGTAGCAGTGAGCTGCTCAGTTACTTTGGGCAAATTATGTCACATCTTAGTCGCAGTCCCTGATCTGGAATTGCAAAGTCTCCACCACAGAGCGGTGAAGGGGTTAGTCACGCACTGTGTGTGTGATGCTGCCATCATTTCACGCACACAGTGCTTTTACTTTTAGTTTGGTTTCAGGTAGGGTCTCGTGCTTCTGCCGGGCTGGCCTCAGACCTTCCTTCTTCCCCGCCTCCCAAGTATCTGGGGTGCAGGTACACCGCCGTGACCAACCCCATGATGGTTCTGGGTGCACACAGGCAGCGTACACCCAGGACGGGGTGGAGTGGGCGGTGGGAGGCATCCTTCTCGTGGCCAGCAGGCTGTTGTCATTGTCACCATTAGAACTGCTCTACTCGCTGCCTTAGCAGACAAGCACTCCGATCGCCTGCACGGGGCCTCCTCTGTCCTCCCAGGCCGCTGCTTACAGGTGTTAGTATTCGTCCCGACTCTGATTGTACGGATCCAGAGGACATAGTCCCTGCACGCCTTGTTCTAAAAACCCTTTGCAAGGTCGCGAAGACCCGCAAGGGTTTGGGGGGCTGTGCACAGAGGTGAAGGACCCGGATGGACAGAGCAGCATTCAGTCATTCTCAGAGCTTCCTCCTCTGCTCAGTGGATGGCAGAGTGTAGGCTGGATGGGGCTTTCGTGGGGCTCCTGTTGGTGACCTGTGCTCAGACTGCTCTGATGTCACTGTACTGTGCCACCTCTGCCTGAAGTGGAGGCTTGGGAAGCCTGCTGTGCTCACATGGTGGTCACTAGTTGGTGTAGGACAGTAGGGGTCAAGGTTGTGTCTCAGGATGTAAGACTTTGTCCTGTGTTCTCCTCACTTTTGAGCTGAACTCATGTCCCAAGGGGAGAAATTCCGTGGTTCATGGCCCCTTTCACTTGCTGGCTTTTGACCTTTCCAATGAAGGGTCCATTGAGCTGGCTGGTCAGATTGACCCACTTGTTGGGCTAGAGCAGGTTGTGTTACCTGCCCGGGCACCTTCCTGGCGGCTGTTCTTCTCTGGGTGTGGCCTGGGCACCCCGTGCCCTCCACTGTGCTCTGTAGTGGCAAGGGCTGTAGGGACTGAGATGCCCAGACGTCCCACGTGTGCTTGCGGCCTTCTGTTCAATAACACACACTTGTGGGCCAGGTAGAGGGCCGGGCCCGGGGAAATGTGAGGGTGCTCAATGCCACCCCAATCCCCGGTCCTGCTCGGCAGGACAGCAGGACAGCAGGACAGCGCTTGACTTGGACCCAGGCGCTTGGTCATCTTCTGTTGACTCTACCAATGACGCGTGCACACTGGACACAGCTCCCCACCTGTGGTGCAGAGTCTGCGAAAACCTTGACGCAGAGCCATTCTGGGCTGGGGTGGCCGTGTCACACACTCCTTTATCCCTGTGTGTCTGGGAAGTCGGAATGGGAACGAAGCAGGTGGAGGCTGTCCCTAGCTGTTCCTGTGGCTTGTGCCTCCTGAGAGCTTCATGGCTGAGTGCTAGTGCTCCCCTCCCTCCCATGGGAAACACTGAGGGACAGACCCGTGGCTCCGAAGAGGGACAGGAAGTGAAGGGATTGTTCGTGGAGTGGCTGGATGGCATCGGTGTTGAACAGAAGCATTGAGAAAGACTGCAGCTCAGTCCCTGGTGGGGTGGCTTTTCCCCTGCACTCCTAACCATGTCACTCCCGTTCCCTGCCTTCTGTGCCTGGGGAAAGTGAACTCGGTACCTTGAGCCTCTGAAGAACTGATGGGGCTCCCAGGTGCCTGTTTATCCTCAGAGGGCAAGCCCTCTGGGGCCCGTGTGTCACTATGTGGTGACATTTGCTGTGGTGAAATGAATACCAGAGGTGGGTGCCAGAGTGTTCAGCAGGATGGAAGGACGGGTGGCATCTCCTTCCGTAGGGCAGGCTGGGAAAGGGCCCTGAGGGGCCAGGCATGTTCTTCCCAAAGGGTAGAAGACTGGGCTGTCCACCCCACCTTGTACGTGTGTGCACGTGTTTGTGTGTGTGCGTGCATGTGTGCACGTGTGTGTGCATGTGTGTGCGTGCGTGTGTGTGTGTGTGTATGAGTGCCGTCCTCCCGAGTCCGGGTTCGGGAATCCTAACCTTCAGTGCGTGTTATTCTAGCTCATGCTCCCGCAATGGCAGGCTCCAGAGGGCTCTCAGAAGCTGGCCATCATGTTGTGCTGTAACTGTCCCAGCTTCCAGGCCCAGCTCTGGGGTTCCCAACATGTCAGGTCTGGCCACTCACCCCAGTGCGACAAAGGCACGAGTAGTGGTGAGGGGCAGAGAAGGGAGTCATTACATGGGTCATGTGGCAAGAGGCGAAGTGAGCTCTCAGCCCATCTGTGGAAAGACGCAAGCTTCTGGTGTAAGAAGAGGGAGAATTGGGGCGGGGGGAGACGTCTGCATGATGCCACACTGTGGCCTGGCTGGTTACTCTCTCAGGTGTGGTTCTGAGAAGGGTTCTGGAGAAACTGTCACCACTGTCAGCACTTGTGGGAGCCATCTAGTCCCCATGAGATGGTTCCTCCTGCTCCAGGAGCAGCTGCCTCCTCCCAGGTCATTGTCCTCATTTGGGGGTGGTTTCTCCTGCCAGGCTGTGGTGAGCCTTTCCTTGGGGGTTGTTTCAGTCCCTTGTCAAAAGCCATTAGTGATCAGTCCCATCCTTTCTGGAACCCCAGGTGACTGCAACAGAGAGACACAAAGGAATGGTGACAGGTGTTGGATGGAGGCGGGGACACCAAGCCTGGCTCCTGCCAAATCACTGGAGCAGGGTTCCTATCAGACCAAGGATGAGGGGGCTTTGGGCTCCCTGAGTCCTCTGGCCACTGTGCATACCCACACCCGTGCACCTGGGATCTTTATGCTTGGTTTCTGTCAACATTGCCTCTTCTGCTGCCAGAGGGGACGTGGGAGGAGCTGGGGGGCACTGGGCTGCAAGGCATCTCCGCAAGTTTCCCAGGGGCTGCTGTTTTGAGCCTGTGCCATGTGGAGAGGGTCCTGGTCCTGTCACAGAGATAATGACGACAATCACTTACGCTTACTGTGGGGACCATAACGGCAGGGCCATGTGGTTTCTTTTCCATCAGCAGCCTGGGAAGGGCAGAGAGAAGGGCTATCTGTTCACGGGAGGATTGAGTGTGGGTCCCTCTGCCCCCTTATCTCCTGCCTCCTGATGGACAGGGGACTTAACCGATTTCTCCACCTGGGTCACAGTGACATTGCAGGTTGGAGCGCTGTGCTGTGGGAGGTGTCACATTGCAGGGCACTGAACAGCTTGTCTGGTCTCCAGCCCCTTTCCCGGAGCTGCGACAGCCATACATGTCCCTGGACATGGCCACATGTCCCCTGGAGGAAGACCTGCCCTTCAGTTGGGACCCACTTGTTTGGCCCGCGAGGCCTAGACTCAATTCAGACGAGGGCTGTCCTTCACACCCAGGGCCTCACCACTGGGGACAGGCGGCCGTGTGTCCCTCGGCAAGTGTCTCTCAGCCGTCTCTGAGGACCTGGGGCTCGCTGCAAGCCCAGTGCCTGCAGGAGGGAAATGTGGAGCTGCTGTTTGTGCTGGCAGTGCCTCTCTTGTAGTCATGGTGTGACTTCCTTCCTGGTGGCAGGGCCTCTTTGCTTTGGATGTCTTCTTTGGAAAAGGCAAGCATGAGGGCTGGGCATGATAATGCATGCCTGTAATCCCAGTTACTCAGGAGGCAGTGGTAGGAGGATCACAGTCTGGAGGCTGACCCCAGCAAAAGCACAAACTGAAGAACAAACAAAGCAAAATGAGCTGGAGGCTTGGCTCAAGCAGCAGAGCACCTGCCTAGCAAGTGCGAAGTCCTGAGTTTAATCCCCGATTCCACCAAAAAAAAAAAGGAATAAAAAGCAAGCATGGAGGGCTTGTAAAGCCACTGAGACTTGAAGTTATCTTTGCAGGCTAAACAGAGACCAGGACACCTGATAGCAGTCACTGGGCTGTGACTGAGAAGCCCATTTAATGTCTGCCGTGGTGTCTAGTATACAGCAGGTACTTGGTAAAAGCCAAGGGAGGAGAGAAACTCGCTGTAGTCTCAGCTTCCTTGTGAACCCAAGACCCCATTGTGAGATCTGTTCCTTTTGGGGGGTCGGGGGGAGAGCAGCGAGCTGACACATGCTGCTCAGAGCCCACATTGTGGCAGGGCCCCAAGAATTGTGCCACCCAGAGTTGGAGGAGGCAGGTGGTGGCAGATCTGTGTTGTCGCTGAGCATCTGGTCCTGAGTTTGTGCTTTGTCATCCACCTTGCACTGCCTTGGGGACCACCATGCCAGCTGTGTCCTGGGAGCTCAGTCCTGGAGAGCCCACCAGTCGCGCTGCACTTGGCTTCTCTTGGAACCTTTTCCTTCTGCCGGGATCTGAGGTTTGAACTGCTCCTGTCCCCGGGTGTAAGAGGCCTTTCAGTCACTCCTCTTTCCACCTGGAGTCCTTCACCGTGGCCCTTGCAGTACCTGCCCAGCGAGAGCATCATCCTGGAACGGTTTTTATGTGTCCTGTCTAAAAACAAAACAACTCACACCTGTTTTTTATTTTTATTTATTTTTTATTTTTATTTTTTTTTCATTATTCATATGTGCATACAAGGCTTGGGTCATTTCTCCCCCCTGCCCCCACCCCCTCCCTTACCACCCACTCCGCCCCCTCCCTCTACCCCCCCCCAATACCCAGCAGAAACTATTTTGCCCTTATTTCTAATTTTGTTGAAGAGAGAGTATAAGCATAATAGGAAGGAACAAGGGTTTTTGCTGGTTGAGATAAGGATAGCTATACAGGGCATTGACTCACATTGATTTCCTGTGCGTGGGTGTTACCTTCTAGGTTAATTCTTTTTGATCTCACCTTTTCTCTAGTTCCTGGTCCCCTTTTCCTATTGGCCTCAGTTGCTTTAAGGTATCTGCTTTAGTTTCTCTGCGTTAAGGGCAACAAATGCTAGCTAGTTTTTTAGGTCACACCTGTTTTATAATCGCCTTATAACGACCCAGGGAACAGTGGAGACAGGTCCAGCACACTCTGTGAGGATCCACTGTTGGAGATGTTTAGTGTTGGCACTGAAAACATGACAGCGGCGTCACTGGAGATGCTTGAGACGAGGATGTAAGACAACTGGGAAAGGTGTGGCCAAGGTGACATCACAGGCGCCAAATCAAATAATAAGCAGCGGTTCTTGAGACAGTGCAGCCAGGAAAGGACCCTGTGAGGGGATTGGGGAAAGGAAGAAACAGGCGTTTCAAACGTCCCTTAAGGCACTGGAAGGCAATCACCCAAGTCTCTGCCCCCATTCCTGCATGGGGACACAAAATGTTTCTCTTTCTTCCATTTGTCCCTGCTTTTATCCTATTATACTCAGTTTCACTCCTAATAAACTTTATCTTTACTATATTAAAAAAAATCACCCTTGGCAGTAGGTATCAGTAAAGGGTGGTGGCCGTCCAAGGTTGGAAAACCCGTTGCTGGCAGCATCGTGACAGAAGTGTTTTGTGTAAGGTGGCAGTGGCCTGGTGCAGGGCTGTGGCTAAGGCAGCGTCCGGGGGTATACCGCTCGTTATCAGGTGTGTGCGTATGCTAGTCCCCTAGGATTTGACACAACTGACTCATTTTGACTCTAACGATGTTCATCCTGGAAAGAATTTAGCTGGCATAGGAAGAGTGTGCCCATGGATGGGGTGGGTGGGCACAGACCCCAGAAAGTGGGGGTGCCACTGAGGTATCAGGCTGAGAGCGTGGGTGCGTATGTGTGCGGGGTGGTGGGGGGTGGCGGGAATACCAGAGGTTGGTTTCTCACCCACAAATTCTGTGGTGACATGTGCAAAATGCTCCATACCACTCAGCCCCAAACTGGGATCTCAAAATGTGAGCGTGTGATTATGGTTACCAAGAATAACTAGTGGCCGGGTAACCTGACAGCTCTTAACACAGATTCTTCAAAACCTCTTCACTGTTTTTTAATGGTACTGGTTCAAACATTCTAGAAGTGCTGGGGTTTTTTGGTGGTGCTGGGGGGTGTGAACTCAGGGTTTGCACTAAATGCTCTACTGGGTGAGGCACACCCAGCCCGTCTTGCTGTAGTTATTTTTCACAGAGGGTCTTGTGTTTTGCCTGGGGCTGGCCTTGGACTGCGATCCTCCTGTCTGTGCCTCTCACATAGGTGGGATCACATTTGCATCTCACTGGTTCAGATGGGCTCTGCTAACTTCTTGGCTGGGCTGGCCTCAAACATTAAGCCTCCTGATTGCTGCCTCCAGAGTAGCTGCTATTACGGGCATGCATCACCAACACTTGGCTAGAAATATATTTTTAAAAGTTCACTAGTCAGCATTTGTCTAGCAGTGCAACAAAATGACCTGCTTCTTGATACCTTTTCATGTCGCACCAGGTATCAATGAAATGAATCAGCTCTTCAAAACTGTTTTGAAATGGCACACGGGAACTAAGCTGTGATTTGGTTGACTGCAGACAGAAATCTGGCTCACAGCTATGCTGTCACTAACATGTGGACCGTGGTAACATCTGCTTGTTCCCACAGGTGCCTATAATGTTGGGTGAAAGACTTTTAGGGTATGTTTAAATCATATTGACTAGTTAGGATCTCTTAAATAGAAAAGGTAACCAAGGATTTTTTTTTTGGTGCTTGAACTTGGCCTCACTCTCGCCCTGCAGGTGCTGTACTGCTTGAGCCATGCCTCCAGACTTTTTTTGGTTTAGTCATTTTTTCAGGTAGGGCCTCATGTTTTTGCCTGGGGTTGGCTTAGGCTGCAGTTCTACCTACCACTTCATGTAGCTGTGATCACAGGCGAGCACCACCACACCCAGCTTATTGATTGAGATGGGGGTCTCACTAACTTTTTCCCTGGGCTGGCCTCAAACTGAGATCCTCCCAATTGCTGCCTCCTGAGTAGCTGGGATTGCAGGCGTGAGCCACCGTGCCCAGCCCCCAGTATCAGTTTTAAGGGTTAAAGTGGCAGATGTGTTTCCAGAGGTGTCAGCTATATGCAGTCAGAGTCTGGTCTTTGCTGTTCTTACTCAGAGCCAGCATCCATCCTTGTGCAAGAACAGGAGTCACAAGGTTTGTAGGACAGTGAGGATGGGAAGCGTTGACCCTGTTAGCACGGACACAGTTACAAAGCCACGTGGTTTTAGGGACCAGAACAGAGGGCAGATGTCGGCAGACACGTGGAGTCTGTGTGACTGGACAGATCCCTCAGCCACAGGAGAAAAGTCAAATGCGATCCTTACTGCGAACTACCGAGGAGCTAGGTCAGGGATGAAGTCACAGGCGAAGATGTCATGGAGGAGGCTTTTCCTGCAGAGCGCGAGAAGGGGCAGAGGGGAAGCGCTGACATACTGGAAGGAAAAGGCTGCCTATCAACACCTTAGGATTGTGCCAATGTGAGTGAAGCACAGCCACGCGACAGCCACGCGCCGTGCACGTGCGGGGTCCGCGTGAGGAAGGAAGTGGCGGGAGAGGACTTTCAAGTGGGAGCAGGGCGGCGGCGCCTGGACGAGGCCGGGACGCGGGGCGGAGAAGCTGCCGGGAGCACGTGCAGGGGGACGCGGGCGCGCGCCTTGGCACCTCGATCCCTACTCTCGCGAGGCCGAGATCTCCCGCTCTCGCGAGGCCCGCGGCGGCCGGTGCGCAGGCGCGCGCGTGCGCGGCCGGTTCTGGAACGCCGCCGCCGAGGGCCCGGCGCCATGTTGGCCCCTAGGGTACGGCGGGGAAGCGCTTGAGGCGGCGGGCGCGGAGCGGGGCCGACGGCCGGCAGGAGCCCGCCCTCCCGCCTAGGGATCATGAGCCGGGCGGCGGCCGCCGAGGGCGCGGTGGCGGGGCAGGTGTCCCGGCGGCGCGGGCGCTAGACATGATGCCGTTTCCCGCGGCCACCCAGGGCGCACAACAGCCGGCGCCGCCGCCGCAGAAGCACTGCGGCATCTCCTCCCCCATCAGCCTGGCCGCCCCCAAAGACACGGACCGCGAGCTGACGCAGAAGCTGATCGAGACGCTGAAGCCCTTCGGCGTGTTCGAGGAGGAGGAGGAGCTGCAGCGCCGCGTGTCGATCCTGGAGAAGCTGAACCTGCTGGTGAAGGAGTGGATCCGGGAGACGAGCGAGCGCAAGAGCCTCCCGCAGGCCGTGGTGGCCACGGTGGGGGGCCGCATCTTCACGTTCGGCTCGTGCCGGCTCGGCGTGCACACGCGGGGCGCCGACATCGACGCGCTGTGCGTGGCGCCGCGCCACGTGGACCGCGCCGACTTCTTCAGCTCCTTCTACGCCAAGCTGAAGCTGCAGGCCGAGGTGCGCGCACTGCGCGCCGTGGAGGACGCCTTCGTGCCGGTCATCAAGCTCTGCTTCGACGGCGTGGAGATCGACGTGCTGTTCGCGCGCCTGGCGCTGCAGACCATCCCCGAGGACCTGGACCTGCGCGACGACAGCCTGCTCCGGAACCTGGACATTCGGTGCATCCGCAGCCTCAACGGCTGCCGCGTCACCGACGAGATCCTGCACCTCGTGCCCAACCTCGACAGCTTCAGGCTGACGCTCAGAGCCATCAAGCTGTGGGCCAAGTGCCGCCACATCTACTCCAACATCCTGGGCTTCCTCGGGGGTGTCTCCTGGGCCATGCTCGTGGCCAGGACCTGCCAGCTCTACCCCAACGCTGCAGCGGCCACCCTGGTGCGCAAGTTCTTCCTGGTCTTCTCCGAGTGGGAGTGGCCAAACCCCGTGCTGCTCAAGGAGCCCGAGGAGCGCACCCTGAACCTGCCGGTGTGGGACCCGAGGGTGAATCCCAGCGACAGGTACCACCTCATGCCCATCATTACACCGGCGTACCCGCAGCAGAACTCCACCTACAATGTGTCCGTCTCTACCAGGATGGTCATGGTCGAGGAGTTCAAGCAAGGGCTCGCCATCACACACGAAATTCTGCTGAATAAGGCAGACTGGTCCAAACTTTTTGAAGCGCCAAGCTTCTTTCAAAAGTACAAGCATTACATTGTCCTTCTGGCAAGCACACCGACAGAAAAACAGCACCTGGAGTGGGTGGGCTTGGTGGAATCAAAGATCCGAATCCTGGTTGGGAGCTTGGAGAAGAATGAGTTTATCACGCTGGCACATGTGAACCCACAGTCATTTCCAGCACCCAAAGAAAATCCCGACAAGGAAGAGTTTCGCACCATGTGGGTGATTGGGTTAGTGTTAAAAAAGCCAGAAGACTCTGACATTCTCAATATTGATCTCACCTATGATATTCAGTCTTTCACAGATACAGTTTATAGACAAGCAGTGAACAGTAAGATGTTTGAGATGGACATGAAAATTGCTGCGATGCATTTAAGAAGAAAGGAACTCCATCAGCTACTGCCCAATCATGTCCTTCAGGAAAAGAAAGCACATTTCACAGAAGGTGTAAGGTTGACAGCTGTGAATGACAGCAGCCTCCACTTGTCCCTGGACAGTGAGAACAGTGTGCGTGTGCCTTCACCCACCAGCTCTGCAAAGCCTGGCCCATTGACTGGCAGCCCTCAGGGCAGGAGCAGTCCTGTCCTGGCTGTAATGGCAGCGTCTTTGACCAACATACAGGCTCCTGAAGTTTCCTTGCAACACACGAGTCCCAGTGAGAACTCAGGGGTTGTGTTGAGTGGGGAGAGCCTTCCTCAGACTCCCTCACAGCTTACCATTTCTGCACCACCAAACCCCACGGTAACCAGAGTTGTTTCTTCAACACATCTGGTGAACCATCCACCTAGACCTTCAGGAAACACAGCAACAAATATATCTAATCCTATAGTAGGAGTCTAGAGGACATTCTCACATGACGAAAACAGGACCAAGAAAAACAAAACAGAGGGGAACAACTAGATAAGTCCAGGTCAGAAACTACTCAGCAGTGTCTCTGTCGGCCTCTCAGGAAACACCCAACACAGATAGACCCAGTATCCTCGTTCTCCCTGCAGATCCTATTCCTGTTATCAGGAGTTCTGTAACAGATTGGACGGATGAAAACAACCCCTGGGGCCCATAAACAACGTCTGTCAACTCAGTCCCTTGTCTTCAAGTGCTAGAGGAGGAGATGAGGGTACCAGGCTAGATAGGACTCAAAACGGCTTCTGTCATTTGGTAACTTCCTTTACTGGCCTGATTTTGATCAGAAGTCCTGGTACTGTCACTAACCCTTCAGATCGTTAGTGTGTCAGCAGCAGTTACATTAGCTGTTTCGAAGGACTGCTACTCTTTAAGGAAAAGAAAGAAAAATCTCTCCAGCTATATCTCTACCCTGACTGACATCAGGACTGGATTTACATTTGATGCGTTGTTGGGAAATTTTGCAATACAAACTAGTATCAGAATTCCTTACATTAATGGTGCACTTTATGTATTTTTTTAGTTAGTACCTGGAACTGATTTTGGATTTTTAACTTGGCAAATTTTAGTGTGTGTTTTTTTTTCCTGGAGAGGTTTCTTCACTATTAATCTTAATACTGGATGCCATTGTGTGGCAGTGTAACATACTTGTTGGAACACTCAGTCCCTGTGAGTTGCTGCGACCCTTTGAAAAGGCAACTCTTAGGGCGCCTATTTGACACCAGCACAGTAGTTGCTACATCTTTGGTTTTGAGAGGACACGATCAAGAAATGGTACAGCAGCTTTATGTATGGAATTGCTTTAGAGCGTGTAGTCAGCAGTTGGGCATTTTCTTTGAGCAAACTGAGCTCAGTATTTTCTTGTCCTCAGTCATTTGTCCTAAAACAAAAGAAACCGTTTGCCTCCACCCTCTTTTGCACAAAAGCAGAATACTAGTGTTTTCTAAACCATGATGTGAAACCAACAAGCCTGTGTCCATATGGCCCAAACACCAGACTCTGACTGCGTGGCTAATATTTTTAGTGAGACTTCAGTGGACATTATGCCTGTGAAATACACTGCTGATCTTGGATGGCCATCTGATCTCTCTGTGAGAAGGTTTATACATCATAGTATACCTGCTTTGTAAGAGAACTTATTTCCTGTTTTAAACGTCAGCAAAAAGGCATTTTTTCCCCAAGAATTGTAAACTATTTAAAAAAAATTTTTAATGACTTATAGAATTCATCAGATTTTATGTGTACAGTCATACCAAAAATAACTTATAGGAAGAACTTGACATAGTCCTAGCTCTCTACTCTTATTTCATCCCACCAAAGATGAGGAACATGTTAAGAAAGAAGAGGAAGACAGTCTCTCTTGGTGAAGCAGTGGAACAGCTTTAGGAGCCACACGGGACCACAGATGAAGATGGGCGAACACTTTGTCTTTCCCAACATGAACACGTCAAAGTTAATAGGTTTAACGAGACAGAGCCTGGCTCTGTCTCCCTCCCTCCCTCCCATCTGTGTTCCTGTCTACCACATGTGTTTTCTTCAAGTTAGACCCTGTCCTTCTAGATTACTTTTCCAAAGTTGGAATAGAGTCCTTGTCCCTGTAGGCTAATGCAGTAGTTGAGACTTTCATGTCTAGAGCACATTTCTGTTTCTCACATCTTCGCCCTGTGCAGTCACCTTGCACTGTCATCACTGTCACAAATCAGGGAAAAGTGTACGCTGTCTGCACTTTGCATAGCTACACTGTTAGGGTGAAATTGCCAGGCTCACATTTAGTCTTGTCATTTTGTTTACACATTGGAAGAATTAGTTTATTAAATGTTTCATGTAACTGTACCTGTTTCACCAAGCTGGGAACTTGGGACTTTTTCACTCTAGTTTTTATTACCTGAATATCGACTATTTTTTTCATGTGCTGTATGTGTCTCCTGACTGGAGTTTGCTTTGTTAGGTAGTATCTGTACTCCTTGTATTTTAAGCACTATTTTGAAAACAGATAATGTATTTCTCCATTACAACGTAATAAAAATAAATGCAAACACGCAGCGTGAAACTAACACTGGCCAGTATGTTTAAATCTAATAAGAATTCAGATGTTTTTATATTGTTCTGAAGGAGGGTAGAGACACTGATGAATTTTTCAACTATTAAAAGTCCAAGATGCATAGTCTAAAGCTAAGAGAAACAAGAAAAGCCTTAAAATTTCAAATGAATACTGACTTTAAAAACAGGGAGTTAAAGCTCATGTGAAAGAAGGCAGGAAGCTGGGTGCGGTGGTGTGTGCCTGTAATCCCAGCACTCAAGAAGCCGAGCAGGAAGAGCAGAACAGGAGTTTGAGACCAGCCTGGGTAATGTAGTGAAAGAGTAGTAAGGTCCTGTCTTGAAAAAACTTTAAAAAGAGGCGTTAGAAAGAAAAAGGGAAGAAAGGGGGAAAAAAGAGGAATAACAGAGGGAGAAGGAAGTATGACCTGCGGTGGTGGAGATGAAGCCACATCTGAACAACACTGTGTTAAGCCCTCCATATCCATGGACAGCAAATCCAGCGGGGTGTGCTGTCTTATTTATGACATGGACGTAGAAACAAACCCTAGTGAAAAGAATCAGGTTCAGTGATAGTCTCATAAACAAAACTCAAAGCAAAAACAATTACTGGGACAAGAGGGCTGTCATTAAGGACAGGAGAAACCGGGGCATGGAGTGATTAACTTCAATATAAGACGACAGGATGAGCAGACAATCCCCAAAGTGTGATCACAGAACATTTTAAGTAGTTTCCATTAATTGATACTGATCAAGAAATGCTTTTTTAAAAACACAGTCTAGTACAAGTGTTGGCAAACTTTTTCTCTGAAGGGTTAACTAGGGGTCCATATGGTGTCTGTCACAGCCACTTAGCTCTGCCTTGCAGAGTGATAGCACACAGATTAGCAGGTGGCCAGCACAGATTCGCAACCCATTCCCCAGTCATTATTTTATATCCATAATCTTGTGGGCATTTATTTATTATAGAACCCTCCACCCAACAATTGGAAAGTGGATGTAATTCTCCAGTAAGTTGTGGATGTGCATAAGAACTGACCATGGCAGCCCAGAAAGTGTTTCCATGTGTCTGATTCATAGGACATGTTTTGTGACTACAGTTTTGTGAGTTAGGTTAATAAGCAAATAGCTTTAACAGAAGCAAAGACAAAAACCACTTGATCATCTCAATAGATGCAGAAAAGGCCTTTGATAAGATTCAACACCACTTCATTTAAGCTCTAAGAAAACTAGGACTAGAAGGAATGTACCTCAACATTACAAAGTCTAGATATGACAATCCTATAGCCAACATCATACTTAATGGAAAAAACTGAAACCATTTCCCCTAAAATCAGGAATGAGACAAGGGTGACCACTCTCCCCACTCCTATTCAACATAGTCCTGGAATTCCTAGCCAGAGCAATAAGACAGGAAGAAGAAATAAAAGGAATTCAAATAGGCAAACTATTTACAGATGACATGATCCTATACCTCAAAGACCCAAAAACTCCCTAGACACCATAAACAGCTACAGCAATGTGGCAGGATACAAAATCAACTTAGAAAAATCATTACCTTTTCTATACACCAACAGTGAACAAATTGAGAAAGAATATGTGAAAACAATTCCATTTATAATAGCCTCAAATAAAATCAAATACTTAGGAGTAAACAAAGGATGTGAATGAGCTCTACAAGAACTACAAACCCCTGAAGAAAGAGATCGAGGAAGACTACGGAAGTGGAGAGATCTCCCATGCTCATGGATTGGTAGAATCAACATAGTAAAAATGTCTGTACTGCCAAAAGCAATCTACATGTTTAATGCAATTCCCAGCAAAATCCCAATGACATTCATCACAGAGATTGAAAAATCTACCCTAAAATTCATTTGGAAACACAAGAGCTCATGAATAGTCCAAGGCAATACTCAGCAAAAAGAGCAATGCTGGAGGTATCACAATACCAACTTCAAACTACATTACAAAAAGCAATAGCCATAAAAACAGCATGGTACTGGCACAAAAACAGATATAAAGACCAGTGGAACAGAATAGAGGACCTGGGTATGAATCCACATAGCCATGCCCACCTTATTTTTGACAAAGTCACCAAAAACATACGATGGAGAAAAGAGCCTCTTCAACAAATGTTGCTGGGAAAAGTGGTTATCTGCCTGCAGAAAACTGAAACTAGATCCACATTTATCACCTTGTACTAGTTAGCAACTCAAAATGGATCAAGGACCTTAATATCAGACCTGAAACTCTGAGGTTAGTACAGGAAAGAGCAGGGAATACTCTGGAAACAATAGGTATAGGTAAGTTCTTCAGTAGAACTCCAGCAGCTCAGCAATTAAGAGAAAGGATGGACAAATGGGACTACGTGAAATTAAAAAGCTTCTGCATAAGAAAAGAAATGGTCTCTAAACTTAAGGGACCACTGACAGAATGGGAGAAAATATTTGCCAGCTACACATCAGACAAAGGACTGATAGCCAGAATATACAGGGAGCTCAAAAAACTAAACTCCCTCCAAATCAATGAACCAATAAAGAAATGGGCAACTGAACTAAACAGAACTTTTTCAAAAGAAGAAATTCAAATGGCCAAGAAACACATGAGAAAATGCTCGCCATCTCTAGCCATAAAGGAAATGCAAATCAAAGCCACACTAAGATTCCACTTCACCCCTGTTAGAATAGCCATCATCAGCAACACCATCAACAACAGGTGTTGGCGAGGGTGTGGGGAAAAGGATCCCTCATACACTGCTGGTGGGAATGTAAGCTAGTACAACCACTTTGGAAAACAGTGCAGAGGCTTCTTAAAAATCTAAACATAGATCTGCCATTTGATCCAGCAATACCACTCTTGGGGATATACCCAAAAGACTGTGACACAGGT